TGATCTGGTGACTGGTGAGGTCCTCACTGGGTTTAGCCTTCGCTTCCCCGCGCTTTTTATGTCTAAGCTTTTATGCCTCTCGGGCTTCGTCTGGTCTAACTAGCACGCTTACAATCAGTACTTGTCCCTTTCCTGTTTTATAGCCGTTTTTTAAAACCATAACCTACTATAGCGTATTCTTCACTAACTTACGGGACCACACCCCGAGCACTGTAAGAGCATCGGTTGTAGTTACGTAGCTTTATGCTTTTATTCCATTGTTTACGCTATCGTGATTCAAACTCTGCCAATCGGCTTCGGCTGCTGTCTTCCGTAACCTTAATGCGGCACGGTCATAGCTCTTTGCCTTCACGCTAGGCTTGGTATCTTCGACTATTACCTCATAGAGGAAATTTACCTACGCTATCTATTCGTTGGATTTTATTCCTATGTATTCTTCTGCTAAGTACTACTTTTGTTCTGTGCAAAGCGTTCGCTTCGAGTAATATATCGTCTCTTAACGATTCTCAGTCTGCTACCCACGCCTACCCAGCTTCGCTTATAATGACCAAGTTATCTAACTACTCGCGGTATGTTAGCTCGTCGATCTTGTTATGACTGTGGTCGCCAGATTCGTTTATCTATAACCATCGAACCACCGCGGTACCCTGCCTGTCGGTTAGCATATTTGCCGGGTCTTGTCGAAACCCGTCCCTGCTTAGGCTGTAGCGTTCCGATTCCTGTAAATTCGCAAGATCTTCACTGCGGCCATTGTCGAACCCGGCCATCTCCTCAACCTCTCCTCAATAATCGTCCTTGTTATGACTGTGGAACCCCATTTCTGGCTCGGACTCGCATAATTCGATGTTTCGATTGTCGGTCTAGAAGATCAACTATTATGCAAGCGCCAGTTGATTATGGCCACCTACGTACAACTACGTTTGACCCTTCGTTAACTCCTTTCAACGTCCTCACAATGCTGGGGAATCTGTACTTGAAAGTTGACTCTCCCACAATGAATCGATCTTCAAAATGCTGACCGTCATGTAGCCCCTGCTCCTCCTATGCCAGTATCCACCCTGCAACAGTCGCTCGTCTCCCCGCCATCCCTACCTGCTATAGAGAAAAGACGCTATTCGACTTTATTGCGCCCGGTGGTCAAAAAGCAAAGAACGCTAGACTTACGGAGGTTCCAGGACAGTTTGAATCGAGCGCTAGATTTCCTGCGCGATGTTGTACCTTTCCGGTGCGATATCAAAACTCATCGTTCGACTTACATAACATCATTCAACTTACGGTTCACCTTTCGTACTTGTTTCGTTTCAGGGCCACAGCGTGCGACGGCGCGCGTCACCAGTCTTAGAAAGGCGTAATTTATAGCCTATCCTAATATGGCTTAGCTTAGTTTCGGGCACGGGCCGAGAAACAAAGTGTGGGTGTTCGCGGGATAATCTGTTTTCGAAATTTCTGTAGGCTGCAAAGTGAAGCCCGAAATTGTTTTGCTTCGATCAGACATCATCTCCCAACTTTGCCTCGTTAGCCGGAATTCATCCTTCGCTACTGTCCTCGGGTGCTTCCCACTACCACTGGGCGCTGTGCGAGAATCTGACGAAGGACAGGGTCGGCTTTGCATTTATCGACATAGTGGACGCGAACATGTCTGCAAACACAAAATAAGTTGATCGTCCATCGCTACTCATTCGAGGCCCATGGTGAATGAATAAAAAAAATGTGGCTGATGAGTGGCTGGTTTAAAGCTTCTAGTTTTGACAAGAAAATTAGCAAAGCACTTCCACATGTCTAACGTCCCATAATCGCCTTCCCTGATTCAAGAATTTTACTATGCTCCAATCTAATATACGCGTTGATTAATTTTTTTTTGCGGCTAGATAGTTATACGTAAACGGTTTCCGACTTCCTGTTAACGGAGCTTGGAGCTCGTCCAGCCGATACCACAGCGGATGCGGGCATCGGAATTACACATATTCCGGGGTTGGAGTTTCTCATAACACACCTGAACACTAAGCATGTCACGTGCAGGTCCAGATGTTCTAAAGCAAGTCTTTAGGCCCTATTAACGCTCTGTTTATCTTACCATCGCGAGGATCCGTAAGAGGAAAGCTCCTTGGTTCCCCTCGATTCCATAACAAATTAGAGACTATTAGGTATTTTTGGATGGGATGCCAGCGAATCTGTCGAGCGTTCTCGGGCAAGTTGGCCAATCTGACCGTGGGATGGAGCCACAGTGGGTCTCCATGGTTAGTTCTTTGTTTGCTACGTAGGGTGCGGTACTTTATCGAGCAAGCAAGGAAAGCCTCGAGCATAAGTAGGAAGCTGAAAAATCCCGGCTTGCTGTTACTCCCGATTTCTTGGGACACCCCACTGATCTCCACAACAATTTTTCTCAGACCTAGCCAGTCGCATCCGTCACTTAGTGTTCATTTCAGACACAGTGCTCGATCCACAACGGGGAAGATCAAGACCTTGCGTACGCTCCTTTCGGCAGAATATAAGCACACAATGCAGTGCTTAGAAGCAGGCTCGGGTAAAGAGATACGACACAATATTTTGCTTGCTTGCACAGAGTGTCAGAGAAAGTAGTCTAAGGTCTGACCCCCGAAAAACAACTGCTGAGTTTGACGGGAGGGCTAACATCACATCCTGGAGGTAGTGCTCTGGAACGACGCCGTGCACAAGATGTGCAACTGGTGCACAACAGTGTCTATATGATCAAAAAAGTGATCGTAGACGTAAGGAGTATACGGCCGGGCTGTTGAAATTTCATACTATTCTTTGTCGACTGGCTGCTACCCTGCGCTCCGCCGCTCCCGAAGAGCTATCAAGGTTGGTCTCCACTTTATAGGTTATGTGCCTCGGTGCTCTGGCGACCGGTGGTTGGGTGGGTCTCAATAATCTAGCAAATGACCACGCCCCTCTGTGGCGGTTACTTCCGTGTCTCATTGACAATCTAGGGGCTAAATGGGCTGCGGGCACCAGACAGCACGAGCTGTAAACTAGTATACCTTGCTTTCGTGTAGAATTGTAATTGTACCCAAGACCCTGCTCGTCATCTCAAACTATAAGCCTCAGCCTTGTCTTGACGCTTTTTAACAACCTTAAGCTCTGCTTGACGTGCAATAATGTGGCAGGCTCCTTGAGATCTTCTGCCTAGAAGAAATGCACCAAATTGCTTTTGATGATGATACCCACCGGCCAGATGTATTGGTGGGGGAATATACAAGTGGCCAATAGTGCATGATGCAAGATGAAGAAATCTCACCAATTACCTACCTTACGCGAGACCCGACAGTTGGGGTCGCATTTCTCGGACGAGATGGATCTAACTGTGGGGCGCAGGTAGTGATCTAGACATTTTATGTTGATCTGAACATCTTCTTATGTTGACCCACTTTGAAGCACTTGAAGGGTTCTTTGCGTCTATCCCGCAGATGCAAATACCTAATCTTCAAAGACTGAGGAGCTCGAGAGATGAAACTATGCTGAGTATATTCATAGACTGGCTGCTATCAAACTGCACTTCGCCAGAAGTACCCCAGATATTTGACAAATACTAAATTAGAGTTCACATCCAACTGAGAACGAGAGAGCGAGGGACGGGTCGGCACGGAGCGTCCCGCCCACGGCTCCAAGGCTCTTCAGCGGTGGATCGGGCGTGTTTTACCGGTCGGCTGCTTAGAGGTACACCCCTGCGAACACTTGAGAAGTGGCGCCACTTTCTGCTCGCCCCTTACCGAGCTTATGTACAGTGGCATCATAAATAATCCCCTTTAAGTACCACGATCAGTGTTCTGTGTTATAGTACTCTCCTATGGCTGGCTGAATGATCGCCATATTTATGCGTAGGTATGCAGAAGTTAATGCTCAGGTGCGATAATGTAGCTCGAAAGTCAGTTCAGCAAGACCATGGATTGATCAATTCATCTGAGAGACATCTGTGATGCCAAAGCTAATGATAACGTACAGTATTTGCATCTATTGCAGTATCCTCGAAAGGTCGGAATTTGGAAATATATGCGTTCTCATGATGCATATTAGGTAGGTGTGAGTGGGAATTTCCGGGCTTATCCCCACACTTCCCTCTCAGCTAGTCTTTTCCCTTCAACAACCAACTTCATCTTCCGCCCTAGGTTCCTCCTTCCTCTGTACTTGTTTCCTTGTATAGTATGTAGGTAGGTAGATCATCTAGGTTCGCACTATTGCCAACTGGAACCACTGCCAGCAGTATTAATGATGTATCATTAGTATGCACGGCTTTAATGAAATTCAGGGATTGTCAAGTCTAATCTGTCGAACCTCACGCCTTAGACATTGAGGTGGAGCAGTGGAAACCTTGGAACCCCCGGAGAACTCATCTGTCTCTTCTTGTGTAAGAACGATTAGCTACATGCATATTGGAACCACCGGGAACGCAACGACAATCATTGCTTTCTGGTAACTCGCTATCAAAGAAAAGCTTGTTATCTGCATGATTTTCCACGGTGTGATTTAACCTGCGATAGAATTGAAATATTTTATCGTGAGTTGAACTATTAGAGCACTTAAGGGAGAGGGATGTGGATAATTCCTGTATATTGCTCTCTTTTAAATAGTGAAGAGAGAATAAGACAGCCCGTATTCTAATCGCTAGCGCTCACTAGATGGAGATATGGACCTATACTACGCATCGTAAAAAGCAAACATTCTTAGCGTAAACCATAGTAGCAGAATCATGGCCTACCACGTACGAACCCAATACCCCTTGCACCCACTTGCCTTACATATAGGAATAAGGTTGTGCTAAGGATGGATTAGTCAATTTATTGGGCGATCTTGATTCATGCGTTGGGACATGGGGCAGGCTAGAAATCGCTGCTGAAGTCATTAGGGTGGTGAGTCCACGAAGCTATAAAGAGGCCTAATGATCCCAATTGTTCTAGAGTATCCAACCACCTCTTCATTTTCTTATCCTACTTTGAGATTCCAATCCTCATTCCTGAGAACCATTCCAACTTCCTCCCACGATGAAGCTTCAAAGCGTCCTTTACTACTGCTCCTTCCTCGCTGTGGTTAAGGCCCAGTATAGCAGCATTTGTCCCGACAGAGATGGGGAGACAGAGGAAATCAACCCCGGACACTTCGTGAAGTACAAGTGTGGGTGGCTCGGACCGTATGGCGGGGCGACACACCAAAACATCAATACCGCCCAAGCCTGTGCTCAACTCTGCCAGGACAAGCCAGGTTGCACTGGAAGCTCCTGGCAGTCTGTACAGAGCAGATGTGTGTTGAGTGGCGACCGAACCAACGAGGCTCGTTCCAACGTCCTTTGGATGGAGGTGGTTCAGCCAGAGGAGGATCCCTTCCCGGAAGACCCAGAAGAAGAAGTCGTCGACCCTTTCCCTGAAAATCCCGAAGAGGATTGTGACACCCAGTTGGGAACCTGCCAGACGCAGAACACAGATTGCCTGACGGAGAAGGCAGCCCTTCAACACGAGAAAGCTGCGTGGATCAAGAAGCAGAACGCGCTGAGCAAATGCCCCTCCCAGCACGAGAAAGTCATTGTCCGTGGTGGTATTAGATATAAGGTCCACTGTTTCATGCGCAGCAAAGGTTTCACTGGTTACAAGTCGACCGACCACGCATTCACTCAATGCATGGACGCATGCTCCGCTGACTCCCGATGCAAAGCTATTCACTATCTCATCGACAGTGCCCAACCCTGCAAGATGCTTGGCTCAGTCGACAACAACAAACAGCCTGATCACAGCTCTAGCCCACAAATTTCCCTTATCCCTGTCACGCCGAAATAAGTTGACAATGTGGATGGAAGTTTTGGTATCGGTATGCTGAAAATCGACGTCACTGCCTCGGGCTCCATACGGGCTTTATTTGACCTTGCACGAGATTAGAAGAGGATATGGACCTCTGGGGGCATCCAAGTGTTATTGAATTTCCGGGTTTTTTTTTGAAATTTTGATTTACTCTTTCAGTCATTACAGAAACAAGAACACAAATTATATCTAAGCTTCCGCACAATCCGGATTAGAGTCGACTTTTTCTGTATGTTTCCTTATGTAGAGCTTGACTATGGTAGGCACTTATGCCATCTTACCGCTATACCTGCATGTCGGAGCGCTCTCCTTTTTTGCACCAACATCATGAACGCACCGCCGGAGGAAGTCATGAAACCCTTGGTCTAGATTCTCTTCGTATGCTGACCAAGTTTGCTTAATATAAGCTTTTAGATCGGCAAAGAACTCTTCGATGGGGTTGAAATTCGGAGAGTAAGGGAGTAGGTGCAGTAGTTTGACTCCAGCGTCAGCACATAACTGCGTGACTCGGTCCGAATGGTGGAAAGACACGTAATCCATAATAAGCACGGATTTTGGCTCCGGCCACCTTCCACAGTGCTGGAGAAGCTGCTCAATAAATGATTCGAAGAACGTATCATTAGTTGAACCATTGAAAATGCGAGACAAAATGATACCATCTTGAGCATACGCCGGCAGTGTCTGGTAGCGTTTGGCCCGATGAAATTTCGACACCTCGACCAGTGTCACGCCGAGTGGTGACCAGCCAGTCCGCTTATAATCCACCCTTTTATGGCATCCAGATTTATCGAAAAATACCAGATGATACGACCGAAACTCAGATAGTTTATGCTGGTAGAAATCTCGCAGTTGAGGGTTGTGTTCTTTTGCTTTCTGTTGGTTTTTTTTTGTCCAGTCAGATTGGGAAAATGCAGGTTTGATGCTAGGTAATGATAGTAACATGTTGAACTCAACGCATGAGAAGATAGCCATCTCCTCAATATATAGGCCGGGCTTTTCGACGAGGTGGTCACAGAGGGCATCCAGCATGACAGGGGCGATGCTTGGTTGTCGCCCGACCGGGACTGGGTGAGACCAGGCATCACCGAACAGCCGCATGTTCTTACGTATATTATTGACAGAACGCTCACTACGCTTCGCGACCTTGCCCATTTGTGACATGGTGAATCTGTTCTTGCTGAGTATAACATGGACAATCATCTTACACTGCCACGGACCGTATGCGTAGCTATCAGAATATATCCATTGTCGCCAGATGCTTCTTCTGGCTTTCCTAGGAAAATATGCCTACGTCCCGATACTACTGCTCCTGATTTAGATATAGTACTAGCCGTGCTGCTGGTTGTGCGGCGCCTCGCCGTTTGGTGGTTGTCATTATGGGGCCACCCAAGAATCATTCGCAAGGCACGGGCCGTAACGGGAGGGCTTTTTGCCCCTCATCAACTACGGAGGAAACGCTCGCTTACGATTGGTAGGTGTCAAGCATGGTGGGATCCAATAGTGTATGGTTGGGAGCCATTTCTCGGAAAAATACATCTTCCAGAAGCCCTGATCAGCTGACTTCAACCCTGCTGTCATCCCAGGACGTCGATGGCCGACAACAGCCCCTCAGATTACAGCCTTTCTTTCTGCAGGAAGAAGAACGAGGAGAAAAGAAATAAAACTATTTTGACTCAATTCATCAAGGCAGTATATATTTCCTTCACCAACCGGCTCGCGAGTTTCTCCTCGCAGATTCGGCTTCACACCCGACTATTTCATCCGAGCTGCACTGGCATCATTCTATCACTACCCAAGCTAGATATGGACGGCATGGTAAGCCATCGGCCAGGTCTTAATGGCAAAGGCAGCGTGTTCTGGTTTACAGCCAGATTCGGTCGCATCGACTTGGCGAGATTGAATAAGAAGCCTGCCGCATCTCAAACCCATGCACTGGCAAAGGTCATGCGCAAAATGCGGGAGATCGCACTGCACAAGCACATTGTACTAGTCGAGCACAGCCTGGTCAACAATACGGTTATGCTCAAACTTCTTCAGACCCTAGGTTTGAGCCCATTGATGTAGCCGGGAATGGTGCAAAGGCTGTTAGGCTACTGAGCCAACACCCTTGACATACAACATAATAGTTATTAACATCATTATACCAGTCATGAATGGTTTGGAAGCCATATCACAGATTCGAGAAATGGAAATTAACGTGCCTATTGTCGCACTCACGGCGAATACGCTGAAGGGCGACAGCGAGATATTTCTCGCTCGGGGAATGAATGACCATGTCAGAAAACCTGTTCATCGTGATAAGTTGGTATGCATGCTGTGGAAATGGAGGGGTATATGATTGAGGTTTTGCTAGATCATAGATAATCGTACTCGCATTTGAACACGCCGTAACGGAAAAGCATAGCTTCACTGCTTGCCTCGGGGTATAATTCCTTCGAGCATTTCGGCAGGCCGTTTTTACCCCGCTTCGCCCATTTTACGCACAATTTAGTTGAATTCAACCAGTCTAACCTTTCCAATCCCATAATCCAATCTTCTGCAGCATGAGACTAGTCCAAAGTTGGCCGAGCGAATCCCACGAATACCTATCGTAAAAGGGTGCCACGGCATGCGCAAGTCCCTCGCGAACTTTAGATTATAGAGAGACTCGCCGATGGCTGTGTTTAAAGAAGCATTCTCAAGCTTACCTAGGCGCGCGGTCCACGTACTAATCGACATTCTGTTGCGGATTTTGCTAGTGCTGTACCTAGATCTCGGCTATATAGTCAGATATGAGACTTGTCAAGTATAATCAAATACGGAGTCACCAATATCTAAATCGTAAATACGAGCGGAATGAGCGATTGATCACGTAGAACTAAACTAAGTACATAAAGGGGTGTCTCTCAAAGAGTAGGTACTGGAGTCACGGTCACGTGGTGCTTTCCCATCAACTAGCGTTGTGGTGTAACCGCATAGTTAATTCATGTTCGTACTAAGTGCATTGGTGAAAATGTTCAATCATGATGGAGTTCATCCGGGACACTCGAACCAAAAAAGCCATCGGTTCTAAGATGGAATGCAAGTCGCTATTATAGAGCATCGAAAAGGATCCCAAAGCCCCATGGAAAAGCACAGGGAATAATTTTGTGATAGTACTTGATATTTTACGGTTGGTTGGTTCGATAATTTGCTTTATGCTTGGCATCTGCCATAATGAACCACTCTGATATTCTGCCGCCGAGAAATATCTTTTGAACACTTCATTAGGTAGTTCATGATGATCAAATTCCAGTGGTGTGAAACCCACATATTTCTATCTCCAAGATTTTTACTTGCCCTCCCGCATCTCCACCTTAGCGAACTTGTGGAGCCCTTTCACGAACTGAATATATCTAAGGCATGGAACATCGGGAAAGACTCTATAGGTGTTGTCAGTTCTTTTCTTGGATGCAAAAGAAAAAGAGCTCACTTTATCTCCGCATACTTCATATGCCACGGAGGATATCCATTTAAGCAGCACTGCGGTCCGAAAACAAAGATGAGGTCGGGAGCACGTCCATATAAATTATCTAGCTCCTTGGTAATTGCTTCAGAGCTAAGAACTTCATCTGGTACCGTACCCTCTTCATTCAGTCTCTGCAATCGTTGTGCAAGTTTGACGATAGTCTCCTGGCCATCGGAATGGTTCAGAATGCGAATATTGAGACATTTAGATTGATCAGTGTCAGGCTCAATGGACTCCAGAACGGAACTCAGTGTGGATATCTTTACACACGGTGGTGTCTGAATACTTGACGATCGAATCTTGCGAACGAGCGAATAGAGTATGTCCCATTGAATGTCGGCTGGGGCTGCTATACCACATCATGATTGGATTTTAAAGAGCCTTATGCAATTTGGTGGGGTCCTAACTTACCTGATCTGTGATAAATAGTCAAGGTCCAAATTTGCGAGCATATGGACCAGTAACAAAGACTCACAACATCTTCGACAGCCTTCTCACGTAGGTTCTTGTCGACATTACTCAGACCGTGACTCTGGGGCAGAATTATGGACAAGTGGCTGGGTCGGTTGGTAGGAAGCGATTCATTAAGATTGTACTCCAGTAAGCTGTCCCGGTAGAGCAATCCATCCAGCACTATGGAGCAGGAATCACGTAAGCTCGCTAAGAATGCAAACACGCGGAACAAGACTTCGAGAGCTTGATTAGCGCCCCAGCACGAAATCGCAATAAGAGGAATATACGCTCTCCATGTGTTGTATTGTTTCATGTTTGGCATGTTGCCTTCTGAGTTGAGCTTCAGTTCGAATCTGTCTATAATGTGATAAGGTAAGAAAGAACAAGCAGAAGATCGTATCAAGTAATAGTAAAACTCTCCAACCTGTGCGAATGTAGGCGGCCTTAAACAGCCGATAAAATTCTATAAATCTCTCTAGAATAGGGTTAAATCAGACTTAAACTATTTTATAAGAGGTAAGAAATATGTCGTAACACATAGAGGCAAACAGCGGTGAGAATATTAGGGCATACATGTTCGCTACAAATAAGAGGCAAGAGATATTCCCGGATAATGAGCGGGGCAAGTAGCGGTGAGTATGTCAAGGCACCCTTGCGGATGGGAATATCCGTGATATCAGCTTGCGACTTGTGCCAACTCGGTTATGTTGGATTGGATGAAGTACTGCCCGACCCAAACAACTAAAGTGTATCTGTCGTTAACCATACAAGTGTTAGCCATAACCATGACCCAACAAGATACTCTGAGACATGCACCAATGCATTTGAATGACATTCGGGAATGCGAACAAATGACTCATACTTCACTGGTTTGTATGTAATGCACAACCAAGCCCCGCCCCTGCCCTGGCAGTTAACAAGTTCTGGCATCGTACAGTACAGCACCTAGAACTGCATCTGTGCATGATCCATTCCTAGATCGACTACTAACAAATCGCCCGAGAACTATGTGGGTGTCTGATGCAGTCTTAGAGATCGGATGCGAGCGGAGACAGAAGAGGCGGTGAGCGCAGAAACTTGGTCCTTTTGGAAAGTTCTCATTGTACAGTGGATGTGTCTATCGTGATTAAGCCCGCTGGGATTCTCCTTGTAAGGCGTATCGCCTTATCTTGCATAATTAGGGATGACACAAAGAAGTTTGGTGGTGCTTCTTGTGGTTTTGCAAGAATGTTCATTTTATATTTAATAACACAAATAAATGACCTATATTTACATTTCGAAGATCGCCTCTCCTTCGTGCTGAAACACCTCTTAAGGCGGGTACCTAAGTACTGATCTACCTAAGCGCACAATTTCGATTTGCGACAATTTTATATGACATGCTGAGAAAAGTAATATGCACTTTCATGTGACGTGTCTGATATTGATATCGTAAGGTACTCTAAAATCCACATCCAGCTCCACCATATTTTGGACATTTAAATCTATATGTTCTTGCTCTCGTGCTCTTATGCGCAGTAAGTATTAAGTTTTGTACCATATATGCAATATTTGCATTGGATATAATCATAATATTACTATAGAATGTAGAATAAATGTATGTCAAGCTCGCATAGATGTCCTAAGTTAAAAGGCTAACCAGATCAGGATAGATTTCACACCCAACCCTGAGATACACATCCAAGATATGTGCCCCACTGCAGATCTTTAGTCTCAATTTCGGGAAATGACAGGTCCAAATTTTGAATCGTTTCACCTGACAGATCAATCAGCCTTGCAATTAGGGAACCGCCGATTGTAAAAAGCCAGAGCCCTCCTCCGTTTCCCTTCGGACCTTTTCTTTTTGTTACTACCTCGGTATTCGTCATTAGCTCGCATTTATCATATCCTCAGGTCCCAGAAACCCACAGAATATGTGATTCTTGTCCATCACAATGGCTATAATATCTCGGTATCTTGAACGAGCATTACTGGCCACCCTTAGCTATGGCAAGGTGCCAAAGCACATCGCGATGATCATGGATGGCAATCGAAGATATGCCCGCACACATAACATGCCAATAAGAGAAGGTCATCTCGAAGGGTTTGCAAATGCAGCAAATGTTGGTGCCTTCACACTGAGTGCAAAATTGTGAAAGCATTGACTTATACAGGACCGCCAGATAATCGAAGACTTATATCAGCTGGGAGTCTCAACAGTGTCTTTTTTCATGTTCGGGGTGGATAACTTCAAGCGTGATCCCAACGAAATTGAGGACATCATGAAGATCATTAATGATGAAGTTGGCAAGTGGGTTGCGCCTGGAGGGCTAGCGCATCGTTTGGAGGTGTGTTTGAGCCATTGCGGTGAGCGAGATATGCTGAAACCGGATCTGCTGGACGTTCTGGATTATGCGATGGATATCACCAGAAACTATAGACGGTATGCCTCGAAACGCCTCTTTCGAAAGATATTAAGATTTGACAATTCAGTAGGGTCAAAGTAAATCTATTCATAGCATACAGCGGGCGACGAGAAATTGTCCGAGGGGTTATATCAACAGCCCGCAGTCAGCCTGTACCATTCAGATACTCATTTATCGACGAAAGTACGGGTATCGTGCACGACGAGAAGTCAGTCTTGAAACCTACGATGGTGCTTTTAAAGCCAAGCATAAACGAGTTCAAGGCCGACATCATGTCTCCCGGGATAAACGACCTCTCTCTCGAAGCGACTCGAAGGATTCTCACACACAACCTTTGGACTAAAGACGACCCTTCGCCAGATATTATTATTAGAACCTCGGGGGAAACTCGCCTGAGCGACTACATGCTATGGCAAGTTTGCGAGAATGCCCAACTTAATTTCATAAAATGCTTCTGGCCAGAAATTCGCGCCTGGCATTTAGCACGTATCGTGCTGGGCTGGCGAATGGGGAGGACCTTCTGAGAAAATGGTGAATGTGTCAAGCCTCTTGCCTTCATGTCAGAACCTCGAGTTGCTCACTCCGAAATGAACGCCCTTTAATGAAACGCTAGAGAACATTCACAGAATTGCCAATATTTTGAAGTGCTGTCGGAAGGATTCATAGCATTCGTAGTATTTATCCTCGAGGGGCCTGGGGTGTAATTGGTAATCGACACTCAGCTCGTATCCTCACACTTTGTCTCCATACATTATCTAAAAAATCCTAAGTTAGGCAAGTGACACCCCTGGCTCCTCGATTCATTTCCTATTTCCATAGTTCACTTTCTCTTAAAGCACATGCAGCAAGAAGATCTCACAGCTCTCAGGCTCTTTGCGAAATTACTCTCTCTTATACTCTCCAGATATTGGAAATTTGAACATAATGCGGGGACGGATCCCATAGGACCAGCAAATTGTTCCTTTCCAAATCAAATGGGCACCGGGAAATTGTTTTTGGATATCCAATCCATGTCACCAGTGTTCAGCGAAAAAAATGCGAGCCTAGAAGAGAGTTTGTTTTAATGCATATATTGCATGGAGACTAGCATCTTCCTAAAGTATAGGGGAGTGTGACCACAACCGTCCTCGTAGTGGGCAGGTTTGTTTACTTAATACATCCTTTCATAACTAACGGTTGAAAATTACCCAAACCCGGTATACCAAAATAATGTGACTATGTCGTTGGAATGGTTGGAACCAGTCGCCCTGGAGGAAGAACGGATGAACGATCTTTCTCAAGCCGTCGCTTTCCTCGAATTGAGGAACCTCTCCAATTGGGATCTGCGACCGAAGAAATATCCTGATTAGCGGAAACTAAGTAAAAACTTCCGACTTCGTGTGTGTTGCGGAGATAGGAGCAGTACTCGTGACTTTGAGGGAATTCTGGAATTCTGTAAACAGTAATGATACAAACCAAGGATGACCTGGAACCTACGGCTTCCTATACTGTCTAATAGCGGATGAAAGTGGTTGAAGATTTATTCCATTTCCTGCGCTGTAGTATACGATGGTTATTGTTATGTCGGCATCAGGATGGACTCGAGCTTGTCAAGTGCCTGCAGAATAAAGAGGGACCAACCTGTCGTCCTATAGGTTGTCCCGGAATGCTAACCAACTACTCTATTGCTACGAACTTCTATACAATTTTTTTCTTCACCTTATCGGTCCAACTTACCAGAAAAGGGGTCCACTGAAACCCACGCGGGGTGCAGGACCACCACAGAGAGAATTGTTAACGCTTGTGTAAATAATCTGCACACATTCAAGACGATGGCCCATCAAATTATTAGAGGAACCCCTAGAATTGATTGTATTCTAGATAACTCGTCGATTCTAACATTTGCGATTAATAGGGAACCACCGAAAAAGAAATTATCGAAATATTACCAGGCCAGTGGGGAGAAAAAGTGGAATTTGTTAATCACACCGATCGACTCTTTGCCCACAAGGTTTCTGCTCGGAACAAAAACAAAAGAGAGCGGGGAAAACAGCTGCCAACGACCCCTCCCAAGATCCTTTGTGCGCAAACCCCAAGCTTGCTATCTGTTTTTTTCCTTTTAAAGGCATAAGAAAGCAATAATGTCCATCTCTAAAGCCCTCGTCTTCGACATCGGAGATGTTCTCTACGGCTGGGAAGCGCCTCCACTCGGGACGACCAACATCCCACCAAAAATGCTGCAAGCCATGATCGCAACTCCAATCTGGGCCGACCATGACATCGGCAAGTTCAATGAGACCGCCTGCTTCGCCAAGCTTGCTGAAGAATTTGATCGAAGTCCCGCTGAGGTCGATCTCGCCTTTGCTATGATTCGTGATGGGCTCCAGTTGAACAAAGCCTTGGCCGACCTCCTCCGGTCACTTAAAAAAACCCGAATGTACAGGCCTTATATATCATGTCTAACATCTCGCAAGAGTTATTCACCCACTTGGGAACAAGAGATGATGGGATGGATTGGAATCTGTTCAAGGAGAGTTTCGTTTCCGGAGAGGCGGGGTTGCGAAAGCCAGATGCTGCGTTCTATACACTTGTCCTGCAAAGGATTGGGCTTCCGGCTGAGAACATATTCTTTGTCGATGATAAGGCAAATAATGTGGATGCGGCTCGGGCATTGGGAATCCAAGGCGTGGTTTACACGAGTATGGAGAAGTTGGAGCACGCCATTCGAGACTTCTTGGGGTAATATGAGGGAACTATGCCAGTCGCAATGCTGCAATATATAATTCGCTGCTATTAGGACTTTATCAAATATAAAATGTCCATTTATGCCATCCTTCACCCTTTATCACCCTTGACCTCAAGTCATCTTTTATGGTGCAAAACTTTCACAGCTAGTACTACTATATGACATTGCTGATTTTCTGGTCTATCAGTTCTAGATCATAGTCGAAGCTTCTCACCGATATCGCATCCAACTTTAGATTGATGGAAAGTAGTCCCGAAGGCATTTACTCGCCAGAACAAAACCCGATTGAAGGATTTTATGCTAGGCTCAAAAGTTTCCTTAAACGTACGATAACCCTTTGAAAGATTCTCGAAAAGTGTATCAGTGTGGTCGGGGCAAAAGAAGAGAGCACCAGAGGCTATTTTCGATGTGCAGGTCTGAAGATCGCAGCCTTCGACACTTAAAATCCCTTTCAAATCCTGCCTAAAATCTTCTTGTATGGTGCCCAAAGTGTGCTGATCCGCTTAGTCGTTCTTGCTACAGTATTACATACTTATAATTATGCTGTGAAACGTCTAATGCGCCTGAAATAAATATCATGCTTAGTCCCTTACTTAGGCTAAGATTTTATAGATCTAGTGTAGCGCTATACTTTGATGGTGATGGTGCCCCTCCGCAAATATCAACAACCAAAGCAAGCTGGACATCTGGGTAGCTAACTTGTAGGCTAGACGCAACGCTTGCAGCACTTCCCTTGCCTATTCCTGGCATGTAGCACAGGACCACATTATGCTTGCCAATCCTTCCATTTATATACGCATTCGCGTCACCTCGTTGCTTGCTGTAGTGTTTCCCAGCCGATCATAGCTTTCGTCAAAAAGGGCGTCGACCGCTTCCGCCTCCAGAGGGAGGGCGCAGATCATCGCGATCGCAAAATCGTTGCGGCTTTTCGGTCACATTTCAGCTACAAGCAGCACAGGCTATTGAAAAGCTTGATATGAAAACTTAGCGAATCTTGCTGCGTCAAGTTCTCGTGGGAAACATCTCAACATGGAAAGTGAGCAGATTTGAAGTTGTGAAAGAGCTAAGGAAAGCTTTGTGTGTCCAGCCTCATGTCCGTGCTCACCAACCAGAGGACAGCAATACGCGTCTATGAAAAGAGTTCCGGATGCTAGAATCACGTGTTTAAGTAATACAGCCAGTGTATTACGTGGGTCGGCTTTGGAAAGGGGAATAGCAAGTCAACAGCTAACAGAATTCCATCTCAACTGTAACCGCCGAACAGAAAGAGTTGTTCCTCATACAGTTACGCTTTGTGGACGTTGGGGCCTGAGGTGCTACAGAGCTAGGAAAAGGGAATACATTCAACGTTGATATCCGCTGGTGTTTGGACAGCAAGCGCACTACCAAATGGCCCAGGCGACATTGAAGTCAGCCTTGCCGCAGAGGATGAATGCAGCATATACTGCCCCTGTTGAGCTGCAACGCGAACGAGAGGTTCAAATGGCATTATGAACGTAATGGCTTCACAGAAACTCTCCACGTGGTGCAAATCTCCGTCCCAATATCATCATGGATTACTTCCCACTGGAGGCGGACGTTTGCAGGTCCACCAGGTTCTGAGACTTGTATTTGGTTTAGAGTACCAGTGACTCGTGAGTAGTCTAGCCACAGATGGTCGATAGGACCTCGGGCCGTGGGTGGAGCTAAAGTCACCCGAGAAGCGAATCTTGCCAGCGAATATGCCTAAAAAGTCTCCCTCACACATAGGGACGATTGAACAGACAAACAAAGAGCTGCCATCGTTGGGAAGGAGAAAGTGAATGCAGACTTATCTCCTGGAGATTCCGACACCGATTGGTTGCCGTATGATGCGCATATGACATCAGGTGAGAAAGCCTGCAAACCCTTTTCTTTGAAGCTCTCTTCTTCGCCGGTTACGGCCCATTCATTCTTGGCATTGTTCTAAGAGGATTCCGGAACTTTCAGCCTCTCTACAACTTAGGGATTCTCAAGATCAGATAGGCGTGCCAGGTCGCCTTTCCCAAGTCTGAGGACCCGGGTTTCTGGTTGTTCGATATGAGGTCTATAGTGGGCCTCCCACCTCATGACCTCATCCACAAGAGAGATTTCTGACATTTTTGAATATCCCTTGCAGTAGCTGTCGAATTCCTTAGTCCGGTAATAGAGGACTTTATTAATGCCAGCTTCACGCATTTTGAACAGGTTTTCCCAGAAAAAGCGGCATTGCCGTTGATTTTCTGCACCCAACCCGTATCCAGCATCTTCCATGAATTTCTTGGTTGCAGCTTTTTCTGCCATAGTAAATCCGTCTGCCGGTCCTTTCGCGGTTGGTAGCTTTGTATGATCGATCAACGCGGCACACTTGAGAATGATCTTCCAGAAAATTGTTTCGTTGAATCGATTTTGAAGACCCTTACCCGTGGCCAAAGCATTATCTCTGCGAATAACGTGAATTGCTTTTTCATAATCAAGTTCTGAAACCTCATCAACATATTTCCGGATATTGTTAGGCTTAGTGGTTGTCGGGATACGGCTCGTTCGGTGCCCGTAGAGACCAATAGTGAAATTGACCTTCACGCACTCGAACAATATCGATGACATTGCTCTCAATGTATACGCGGAGTCTGCTTGATAAGACGAGGAAATGTCGACGGAGATATCTAAATGGTGGGTACCTTTCACATGGTCGTAGTCAGGCTAGATCAAAGGACGTTAGCCTCGGATCAAGTACCTGAAACAATTTTGTCCGATGGCAAAAGTGGCATACCTGTTGACTTATATTCTTACAACCCACCTCGATAGGTTCATCAGCAATTCTGTCTGGAGATTTATTACCTAAATTTTCAGAAAGCTTCGAAATAGGCCGCTTTCTCCTCTTCCTCGGTTCTGCGCCTGCAAGATTTCCATAGTTCCTTTTCGGTGCATTCAGAATCCGATAGGATCCACGCTCTCTGTGCGGGGAAGCCGGAGGCGTTTGTAATGCTAAGCCGGTGGTTCGCAACGGGGACTCTTCTGTGTTGCCGTCCTGGCTCGCTAGTTGAGCCTGGAGGACTAGAATCACGGTCAACACTTATTCTATTAGGCAAGTCAAGTGTCTAACGTACCGTCATTATCGACTTTAGAAATCAAGCAGTCAATATACTCTTCGTTATGATCGATGCCAGAGACGTGAACGCGTCCCGGATGGCCTGGGCTAGAAAGACTCGGGCGGTCTCGTCCATGATACTTGGAGAATGCGATGCGTGTGACCGAGGACGCGCCCACCTCCAGCATTATAAATACCAGCCGCTTCCTTTGCTCTGGAACTTTCGAGCAGACTGATCGACGAGCCAAGCCCACCTGGGTGGGGCTGTTGACAGGTATAAGCCAATCATGTATCCACAACGTCTCCTTATCCCAGATTTAGCAGTCCTGGGGCGTAGATCCAGGCCCATTGTGAGGTGACGTCTTTTTGCGGTCTCGAAATTCAAACCGACCTCCCTAACCAGCGTCTACGCTGTGTCCAGTCCATGGCTTTAATATCATATCGCAGCTTCGTGTTGGCGACTTGAAAGAACGTTGGGTTGCGGGCCAGGTTGGCTTGACTGTTGAATGTGGTTGGCTAGTGGCGTAGTTGGTAGCCCGAGGAACGAAATCATCTGTTTACGGGACCCATAGGCGCAAAATCCGGAAGACAAGCAGTTCTTGCACGGAAAGCCTGGGGCATTCCAAACAATTAACAGGGAATGGGACGAACAGGGCTGGTAGAAGAAAACATCACCCCGAGCCAGCGCATAAGACCACGAGCTGAAAATGAATACCTACACACCGGCTTGTTGAAGCAATCACATTCGTTAGTTCGTATGGATTAAACAGCTCTGCACCTGGAAGGCGTAAGAAGGTGGAAGAAGCGAGAAGCGTTCAAGGATGAAAGTGACAGAGGACTGGTTTTTAAACGGTGACTCACCTCGAGAGGAGGTTCTAACCCCACTTCCTCGTCGCACTGATCTGCATCACGTGCATTCCTAATAGTCGAGGACCTCCCACTCTCGTAGCGTCGACTCAGCCTTCAAAGCCTTCTTGGTGAAAAATGGCCCGTATTGGCTATTTCGGGAAGTGGATGGCCGGTCCCAAATGGTGGGGGTGGTTATTTCTTTAGGCAAACAGAGCAATGCGGTGCTGATCCCTTTGTACAACTGAGTAGGCAGTTTTGATAAATTCATTTTGCTTTTTATGAGTGTCTACGTTCATCATGATGCCATTTACAGACATGACCATTTGAGAGTGAACAAGTTCAAAATTATGAGATGGTGAATGAAGAACTAAGATGTGACGGCTAGTTGATCGTGAACGTGCCTGGGCTTCACATTGTCCTCACGGACATCTGCTTTGTGAACAAACAAACATATTACCAAGCAAGTAAACATAGTTAACAATAGGAGAGAAATAAGCCCGTTCATTAAGCAGGCGTTCAATTAATGAAAACGTTTTACTGCTGAGTTACGTTCAATTCACCATCAACACAGAGATATTGCTTCCAGTACATCCAATGTTATCAAAAATGGGGCTAGGGGTATTAAAGAGTTTCGGTCGACATACTACAAGAAACGGTGACTACAAGGGAACGGTGAAATTGTCATAGAACTTCCAACGCACTTGCCGGTCAAAAATGGAAGGCATTATCAGTAAAACCATTGGCTAGCCAATAGACCTTCTCCACATAAAATTTAGGTCCGTGCATTTCAATTTTCTCTTGATGTTCAACGGTCAAACAGGGCGCTATCTGAGCTCAATCCTGAGCCCTACAGCTCATTTGCCCATGCTATAGTCTAAATGCTGTTGATGTGAATAGTTATACTCGTTTTGTTTTCATCAATACCGTATGTGCCAGCAACTATGCTCAAATAACAATGTTCAAATCACTGGTTATTAGGGCGGGTTATGGATACAGCATCACCATTGTCGACTACCTTGCAAGAATCAACTATGATTGTTGAACGGGATGGCGAATGTTTAAAAATCTAGCAAATACATTAACAATCATTAAGAAACCATAAGCAAAAATATATCCAGCATTCCCAGAAATTGTTACTCATAGTGTGGTGAAACTTCGTGTAGAGTCGGTAGGCTCTGGCCTTTCTAAGACTCTGAATTCGCCGAGTCTAACTGGTGAAAGTTGTTTTCAACACTACCTCACTTAAGTTACAAGTTGAGAATAATTTTAGGAACAATATAAGATATTGTAACATATACCGGAATCCACCTCCCCCCCTTACTGTTATCCGTATGATTCGCAGTGTTTACTCCTATGCCCTCTCAGAATCTGAATGGTTCCATTTTAACCAGCAGATTTCTTAGAGCAGGTTATACTTAAAATTACCCTCGATGTCTCCCTCCCATTAACGTCAAAAGCGGATATCGTACGCAAATAGGTCGAGATTAACCGGGATCCCCGTATCTACCTTATAGCGTCGGGCCAATAACAAGCCTTCTATTGCTGATAAAGCTGCCAAGTAGTAGTACCTTACCCCGCAAGAGGAGCAGGCACTAGTAGAATATATACTACGGTTGGCGGACAATGGTTATCCGCTTCCAGTTAGGTTTCTGCGATCGCTCGCTCTGGTCATCGCGCACCAGCGATCCTCGACTTTCCAGATCACAGATCCCCGCCTTAAGATCCAACCTCCGGGAAAGAATTGGCCGCAGAACTTTTACTTACGCCACCCGCAGTTGAAAGCGCGACGGTTACGAGCGATCGATTGGAAACGAGATAACCGGCAGATCGAAGACAAAGTCCGACATTGGTTTGCCATCATTGGCCGAGAGCTAGCCGATCCCGCTATTCTCCCGGAAAATGTTTATATTATAGACGAGACAGGAGTTCTTCTCAGTGTTCTCAAATCCCTCAAAGTCCTTATCCACAGAGACGATTTGAGAAAGCATCGGGGGACCACGGTGAAGCGGACGCTAGGTACAGCAATCGAATGCATTTCCGCCGATGGCCGGTGCCTCCATCCTCTCATTATCTGGCCGGCCGCCACCCATCGCAGCTCGTGGACCACTCACGCCACCTCCGGATGGCATTTTGCCTGCTCCAAAACAGGATATACGAACAAATACATCAGTCTGTACTGGGTGGAAAATGTGTTCGATCCGCAAACTCGAGACCGAGCAGGCGATCGGCCACGACTCTTAATCTGCGATGGTTTTGGCACTCATGAGTCTGTGGAGGTCATGAAATTTTGCTTTGCTAACCGTATAATCCTGTGTCGTCTCCCGTCTCATACGTCTCACAAACTGCAGCCATGCGATGTGGGCGTCTTCGGTCCTCTGAAAACGGCATATCGGGCACAGGTTGAGCAGGCATGCCGAGCTGGTGTGGGTGCCATCGGCAAGCCACACTTCACCTATCTTTATGATCGCGCCCGAAATGAAGCATTTACATCCCGGAATATACGATCCGCCTGGTCGAAAAGCGGCCTCTTTCCATTCGATCCATCTCGCGTCCTCCGAGAGTTTCCAGCGCCACGAACCGAGATACAAACCACGATCCCTGTGGACTAGAGGAGTTAGGACTCTTGAAGCCACGGAGAGTTTTAAGAGGGCATACTATTTGAGAGCTGAGGAATGACCAAAACCCCGATGAGTCTGGGGAGAAAATAAATATTCGTCCTAACTCTCGAATCCGTATGCCCAGGCAAACATCCGCCCCGCACATTTCGCTACGCTCTTGCAACGCTAGCACCCTTAGGGTTAGCCCCTTCTGGATAGAAATCTACTAATCTAATTTATCAGAAATATAGTTTAGGCTATGTTATTTAAAAGATATCTTTTGCCCGACCGGGAAATACCAAAGTTTAAATTACTTAGGGGGGGGTTTCCGCTTAAAAAAGTCTTGGCCAGGGCCCGGGGGTTTGAGTTTGGCTTGGGGGGTTTGGCTTTGAAGGTTTGAACCAAACAAATCCCCCCCTTTCCCATCCCCCACTAAGTACTCCTGTTTGGCCGACTATATTTAGGATCTTCAGTCTTCATATGGATAAGATTTAATAACGCTCGTTCTAACGCCTTACTTTAAACCCATTAGTTCGGCCTAGTTAGTTCATTAACTTAGATAATTAGTCTTTGCTATCCTTAAGGCATCCAAGTGTGAATAACCTCATGTCAGGCATATCATCACAAGTAGTCCTATCCATTGGAAGTGTTCAGGATAGGTAATAAATCTAACTAGATTGAAATGAGTGCTTTCATCGTTGACTCGGACATAGACTTTTAGTATTTGAAATTTTCAATTTATGACCAATTTGAATTGATAATATCTCATCGCGCATCTCCCTCAAAGTAAGGATCATAATGAAAGCAAATTTTGAATCTGACAACAAGACGAGGCCGTTGATTGATAGCAGCTCTCGGACTACATATGGATATCCCTACGATACTTGAAGATGGTATGTCTCAAATGGTGGCCGTGTATTTTGCCCTTTCCATATTCTCGTGATAGGCGCTAATTTTGGCGTCAAACTCCCTTGAGGAAGACTTTGGCCAATCGATGTGCATCGGACACCTGTAAATCTCGTAATCGGCATTCCTTCGACAAAACCTGCAAAATTTCCGTGCGCAGGTTTTGCATCGAACAATTTGAATCCAGCAAGCGCTCCAAGCAGCAGATAATCATAGACTGCATCACTGTGATGAACGCCGCGGGCATCGCGTCTGTATCGTACTCATAGCGAATATTCAAGGCATCATTTTCAGCTTGCCATTCAAAGAGACAAGAAAACTTGGCACCTTTCGCCGAAATGGGAGTCGGTGTCACACCATCGATAGGAAAGGCGCGACTGTGTTTTTCTCGGACACGATGGTCATGGAATGTGACCACGCAATCGAAGAGTGGTTGCTGCTGCCTTTGTTTGGCAAGTGATGGGGGTAAAAATGGCAGACCTAACAGGTTCAATAGCTGGTGCCAGGGAATTGCGTGCGCTAGTGCGGACTGAGATGATGCGCGAACTTGAAAGAGAGCTTCCTCCGTCGTGAGATTATCACTACTTGACTTGACCCTCACAGGAAGAGGTTGCAGAAACAGTCCAACCATTGACATGTCCCTCATATCGGGGCGGTTCATATACGGAGCTCCTAAAAGGATATCATCCCGTCCACAGAGAGCATGAAGCACAAATCCAACCGCCGCCAAGCCAATTTGATGCAAGGTAATACCAGTTCGGGATGACAGCGCGAGAAATCGCTTATAGAGCGAGTAAGGAATAGCCTGCATCACAGATGCTCCGCGGTAAGACCGCCTGGGTGCTACTTGTGTACCTAAGCCCACTGGAGTAGAATCAAGAAAAGAGAGTCCATCCAAGTATTTTGGCCAGAATGAGGCACAGGATGACCCAATGGGCTGATTCCAAACAGTACTTTCGAAGTATTCGTGTTTGGGAGGCTCTAGTTCTTTTCCGTGGTATGCATCGGCTGTTTCCAGCAGAATCACGTTGAGAGCTGTCAAATCGAAGAGTACGTGAGAAGCGCAGATGACGAGCGTCGAGGAGGAGATAATAACCCGAATGAGATCTTCACTGTCGAGCCTGAAGGACTGCTGGATAAAGGCTGTTATATCGACATCATCCATGAGAGGCACAATGATGGCATTTGGTGAGAGGGAGCGTTTTGTTTTCCCTTCTTGAGTCGTGAACCTAGACCGTAGAATTCGATGTCGGTTCAAAACTTTCTCCAGGGCCAATTTGAGCAGCTGTTGATCAATCTTGCTCGAAAGCTTCGCGACATAAGGCACATTGAATGACGACCTCTCCTCGGAGTTTTGGTGGCGGTGGATCCATTCAAGCTCGGCAGGTGAAGGGTCATCCAGGCCGAGGGACCTGCTCTGATCTCCCAATAAATCCCCCGAGATAGTGTTTGACTGCGCGCTATCATATGTTTGGATATGGTTGGCCAGACCTCGGAGTGAGGATGCTCGGATGACATCGTTCACGGTGATGGGAATGTGAAAAATCTTCTTCAGTCGCGCCACGAGCGCTAACTGTAGTAAAGAATGCCCTCCTAGCGCGGCAAAATTGTCGAAGCAGGATATGTCATGTGTCTTGTCCAGCGCCAAGAGTCGTCGCCATTCTTCGGCAATGGTCTTCTCCACTGAAGTCAGAGCCTCATTGCTCCCTGAAGTCTGACATGTCGGTGCATGTGACGTGAGGGTTTTTGTATCAACCTTCCCATTCTGTGTTTGAGGCAACCTCTCGAGGGCGAATACTTTTTGGGGGACAGCATGGGGTGGTAGCGCTTGGGAAAGCTTTCGCTTGAGGAGCTCTGTATCAATTTCTTTGGGCTCAACCCAGACCACCACAACACCATTTTCTGCTGTCGCAACCGATTTGCGCACTGATGGCATTTTCTGAAGAACGACTGTTGTGATGTCATCCAAGTTAATTCGGAAGCCTCGCATTTTGACTTGGCGATCGTTACGACCACAGCAATGCAGATTTCCCTGCTCATCCCAGAACCCAAGGTCACCGGAGCGGAACATCATTTCTTTTGTCGAGCTCCCACAGAATGGATCGGGAAGAATCTCCTCCGATGTCTTCTTCTCCATGTTGTGGTAGCCTTGAGCTACTTGAATACCAGCAATGAAGATTGTCCCGACCACAAAGGGAGGCTGAAGGTCCAGTTGCTCGTTGAGAATGTAAATTCTTGCTGACGGCAAAGGACGACCAAGGCTCACCGTACCGCCAGGCTTTAATTGGTGGTGGCAGACAAGAAGGGAAGTCTGTAACACAAAATTGAGATTTTGTCTATTTCCGAAAACATATGGTTGTCTTACCTCTGTGGGCCCGTAAATATTGTACAGTGTTCTTCCTGCTGCCCATCGTTCGACTAACGGCTCTGGCACAGGCTCTCCTCCGAAATGGACCTTGAAAAGCGAGCAAAAATATTAGAGGGTAGGAATCCCGTGTGAATATGCTCAAACGTACCGATTTCAAGTTCGGATAATCTTCTGGGCTCAGCTCTGAGGCTACGGATGGGGTTAAAATAGCAACATCCACGTCTTGAAGATGAGAGAAAACATCGTCTTGTTCTCGCCGGAGTACCAAAGTGCTTCCGAAGCAGACTGTGGAGAGGATCTCATGTATGCAGCCGTCGAAGCCAGGAGAAAGCATTTGCGCAATTCGTACGCCAGGATGACTTGTGGGCCGGGCAGCCGGTGCAGCGTATAAGGCAACAATACTTCGATGTCGGCATAGTACACCTGGAGAATTTTAGCATAATTCTGATCCAATGACAAATGCCCAAAAGGTACCTTTTGGTTGACCAGTAGATCCCGAAGTAAAGCAAATGTATGCTGTCGAGCTTGGCCGCGGTCCTCTGATCGGCAGGTTTACTGGGCCGCTGCAGCTGTTAAGGATGTTGTCGATCGCCAGCGTCAACGGCCCATTTTGGCCTACTACGGAAATCTGCAAGCTGTCCGGAACGAGTAAAAGTCGTGCTTCACCGCGCTCAAGAAGCTGGGTACGGTATTCCGCAGAATAAGATCCGTCCACTGGACAATAGATTGTATCTGCTTGCATGGCTGCTAGCATAGCCACAATCCAATTAATGGAACGATCCGCTAAGACTGCAACCACTTTTCCGGGTGGAACAAGACATGAAATTATAGCAGCCACCTTGTCTACATGGCCAGAGAGTTTGGAATAGGTCAGCGTGATGTCCGCCCGCTGGATTGCCGCTCTGGAGGAGTGCTGGTTCGCAGCAATTCGAAACAGATCGCTGATAGTCTTCGCTGCATCGCAGTTCCTGCTAGCTGATGATCCAAAGTTGCCTGTGGCCAGCAAGCTTTGCCGCATTTGGAGAGGAAACCTCAGGTCGAGGCACTTCTGCACAGTAACCTGGTCACACAAGATAACAGAGAGGAGGTTGCTATAGACAGCTCCAACATTTTCAATCAGTGCAGGTAGGAAGCTTTCAGTCCTATAGAAAATGCTGATCTTGCCATCTGGGTTGACGACCAGATTAAGAGGAGTGGCTGCGGTATTTCGGAAATATGGCTCACGAAACTGTTTGACAGCGCTTAATCCTTTCGCAGATTCCTTGTCTTGGACAGTAACGGTGGTGGAAAATGATGGAATATTAGAAGGGAGATGTGAGCCATGGAAGCTAGACAGATACTGAATGATCCGATGAATTTGCTGCAAGAAGTCGGCTGTCTTTTGCTGTCTGTCGATCTCAACGACCACAGGCGATGTTTCAATCAATGGTCCCAGCATCGTCTCAGTCCATCTGAAAGGAAGCGAGCGACCCGAGAAAACGGCCCCATAGGCTATCGCATCTGAACCCGTGTAGCTGGCGAGGAGTAGCACCCATGCGGCATTGTAGATGGCAGCTGGGGTAATATTAGCAGCCCGAGCATAGGCTTCTATCTTGTCTTGGTCTATGCTCTGTGGAACGTGGATTTGTGCATGGCCGTTTTTGCGGGGGCTGTGGGACAAAGAAGGGAATATGATCTCCCCAGATGCTTTGGGAAAAAGTGGCTCCAACTCCCTCCAGAATTCCTGCGCCTCTGCAGTTGTCTCCAAGCGTAAGCGATCCATATCCTGGACCGCCACCGTAAATGGAAGAGAGCTTTCAGTGGGTTTTCCATGGAGCTTGTTGTCGATTTTCTGGAAAATCAGTGATGCAGAGTAGCCATCTATAAGCGCATGATGAACAGTCCACACCACAATACTCTGACCTGATTCTAACTCATCACCTTCACAATGCAAGACTGCAAAACTGTTGCCCAGATCAGCGCGGGTAGTCAATTCATGGAGAGCCATGTTGATCTCCTGCTGCGTATTGACAACCATCTCGTCCCAATTAAATGTAGGACGCAGCTGAAGACTTTGTGTTGGCTCAGCCTGTAGCCAACTGAAAGTCATCCGGAACAATGGTTCTGTCAAGGCGAGCGACTCCCATGCTGCACTGATGCGGGGGATATCGCTTGTGGCATAATGTGAAATATGTTGCACGTAGTTCACACTTGGGTCCTCTAGAGTGGCAAGAAGGAGCCCTCTCTGTAGAGGAGTAAGTGCTACCTCTTCAGTTCGATATGACGCTTGAATATGAGAGGGAGCAGTTGGACCTTTGGTGACACAATGATCTATCAGAGCTTGTATGGACGGCGCAAGGAGGATATCCCGAACAGGGACGGTGAATCCACGCTCACGGCAAAGCGTGGATACTTTGATGGCAGTCAGTGAATGTACTCCGTAGTTCACGGCCGACTTTTTGGTGTCAAAATGATCGATTGGAATATTGGTGACATGGGAAAGTGCCATCATTATCGCTTCATCCAGAGTGCATGTGACACTTCCAACATGATTAACAGTCGAAGGTAGGTTTCCGCTCAAGACTCTCTTGAGGGCCTTGACATCAGTCTTGCCATTCATCATTGGAAGATGACTAAGGGCCACGAGATGATCCGGAACCATATAAGCTGGTGATATCGCTTTCCATCTGGCAATAAGCGTTTCTGTATCGACGTCCTCTGGACCAACCACAGAGACCAACATTCCGTTGAGAACGAGCGAAAAAGAGAACGTGATATGTTCGTCAAGCTGCACGACTTTGGCATCTAAATCCTGGGAGAGGTTGACGAGGAACCCTCGGATCTTCGTGATCCGATCCCTTCGGCCAAGGAACTCTAGCATTCGGGACCCCGACTCGGTGATCACCCACTTAGCCATGTCACCTGTGCGATATGTTCTATCGTTTTGATACTGGATGAACTTGGTCTCTGTCAATCTCTCGTCACCCCAGTAGCCTTCTGCTAGGCAGTGACCCGAAACGAATATCTCGCCTTCGATACCAATATCACTGACTTCTTGCAAATTTTCATCAACAAGCGTAATGGTGGAATTTGGAATGGATTGACCAAGTCGGGTAGTGTGGTAGCGGCCAGTCTTTCTGTCTGCCTGCAAAAGGCCCGTTAAGATGGTACATGTAGCTTCTGTTGGCCCGTACGCAATCCAGAAATCAACATTTGCAGAAGACCAGCCCTCGATGAGTCTCTGGGATGGGGTCTCGCCCCCCAGAATAACGCGCTTGAGCTCCGGATAGTCGGTACTATGTGTTGGCAAGCTCAAAACATCCAGGATAGAGGGAGTGACAGCAAACACATTCGCTGTGACCGCACGTTCCTGGATAGTCTCAGAACTGGCGAGGACTACTGTCCCGCTATTACATATGGTGCTGAAGAGCGCACCCATGAAAGCTTGTTTGATATTTAGCATTCATCTAGCACGTCGGGAGAACATGGACGTCTTACCGTCAAACGCCATAGAGAGTACAAGAAGCATCCGGTCGCCTTTGGATATCGCAAAATTAAATGGGGGGGATGAAACGAGATTGAGCACCGAGGCATGTGTCAGAATGACGCCCTTTGGTTTGTCGGTTGTCCCGGAGGTGAAGATTATGCACATTCGTTTTGAAAAGTCGTCATTCAGAGATTTCACAGTTTCCACGGCAGGGAAATTGGTTAAAACATCCTCGACACTGACGCATCTGACTTCCCGTGTCCGGATATCGGGCTGAACGCCTGTATAAACGATCAAGTCTGCATCAATGCGCCCAAGAATCGAGTCTATCTTTTCTGGTGGCCATTGTGCTCGGTCAAGTGGTACATAGCACCCTCCGGCTTTGAGGATGCCCAAAATTCCCACAACCATATCGCAACAGGAAGTCGCCAGCAATGGAATTGGCTGCCCAACGTTCACATCGCACTGCTGGAGATATTGCGCCAATTTTGAGGAAGCGAGGTCTAGCTGCCGGTATGATAAGACGGAGTTTTGGCCATCTTCTACGGCATGTCTGCCGGCACTTTCTTGCACTGATCGACGGAACAGATCGAGGACAGACTGTGGATCTTTCGCAGCCATGGTGTTAGTTCTTGACTGGAGGCTGATTTGATTTTCAAACTGAGATCTATACTTATATGGAACACTCCCTTCTCTACATACTTATCTGAACTAAAATAAACAGCTGACTTTTGTAATGTTACCTTTTCTAATATTACGAACAGAATGCTGGGCGTCCCACCGTTGCCCGCATTTATAGTATACTCCTTGCATCCTTGCCCATCAAGCAAGGGATGTCATCTAGATCGTGCAGAAACTAGCGTTGCTAGCTCAAGACACTTCATGATCTTGCTTTTGCTCCGGCATGCAATGTAGTACTGCGTCAAGCCAGCAAGGAAACGATTTTCCATAAGGACGATGGTCTCTAGCCCTGCCACATCTGACAACTCCAAGAGTCTTTAGTCACGTCAATTCTTTAGACCAACGTGTTCATCGTTTGATCCTCCGACTCATCTTTCTCTGACGCTTTCCCAGTCATTCCTGTTTTACCATGGCGATCATTACCTCGTTGTCATCTTCTGCCCCCAAGGCTGCAAAATCTCCAACCGTTGATTTGAAGACGTTTTCCGACGCCGAACTTGGCAGCAGCATCCCTATACCTCTACTTAGCACCAAGGACGGAAATTTGATGAGACAGTGGAACGCTCAGGTCCCCAGCCTGGTCAATCGCTGTGTGCATGAGCTCATTGCGGACCGCTGTGATAAACAGGCAGATGCTATAGCAGTCCATGCTTGGGATGGCGAAATCACTTATGCTCAGTTACATGAACTTTCTTCTTCCCTGGCAAGACATATCATTGCCCATGACTTTGGGGCGCCGGGGATCATCCCGCTCATATTTGAAAAGTCTATCTGGACCACCATAGCCCTACTCGGGGTAATGAAGGCAGGTGGCGCATTCCTTCTCATTGACCCGGCCCATCCTGTCTCGCGACTGCGAGAAATTTGTGCAATCGCAAGAGTAAAGCTCGTCATTGCATCTCAACAACAGACCGACCTGGCCCGAAAACTCGTTCCGGATGTGATTACTCTAGGCGAGAATGAGCCTGCAATCATGAAAGCCAGTTTACATGGCAAATTGAGACCGGTCTCACCCGAGATTCCAGCATACTGCGTCTTCACCTCCGGTTCAACTGGCAAGCCTAAAGGTTTCTGCGTACAGCACGATGCCTTTGCCACAATGGCTGCAACTGTTCCCGTGGCCATGGGTCTCAATGCCACCAGCCGGGTGTTCCAATTTGCTTCGTATGCCTTTGATGCCAGTGTTTTTGAACACCTTGCATGTCTTGTGATGGGTGGTACTCTATGTGTTCCCTCAGACTCTGCACGGTCTGACTCCGTTACCGATGCTATCAACGAATTCCAAGCCAATTTCACGATTCTTACTCCATCGGTAGCCCGCATCTTATCACCGACTCAAATGCCTAGTCTCCGCACGCTAGTCATGACAGGAGAACCCATGAGGAAAGAAGATGTTGATAAATGGTCTTCATACCTCCAGCTTGTCAACGGATATGGCCCGTCTGAGTGTGCTGTTTGCTGCTGTGTGCATTCCTCTGTGAACTCGACCACGGAGCTCGGGCAAATCGGTCGTCCCCTCGGCGCTTGTCTATGGCTAGTTGACCCAGATGACCTTGAGAAGATAGTTCCAGTCGGTGCCGTAGGTGAGATCTTGATCGAAGGTCATACCGTAGGCAAAGGTTATCTATCTGATCGAGATCGGACCACTGCGGCTTTTGTTGATGCTCCTAAATGGCTGGCAGAATTCCGCTTAGGCACATCGAGGCAAGTGTACAAGACTGGTGACTTGGCAGAATATCGGCCCGACGGGACATTGCGATTGCTTGGAAGAAAGGATTCTCAAGTCAAGATCCGTGGGCAAAGGGTCGAATTGGTGGACGTGGAGCAAAAGCTCAGGATGTTTTATCCTCAAAGCACAGAAGTCGTCGTGGAAGCTATCGACACGAATCGCACCCCAATGCTCATTGCTTTTGTATCTCACCAAAGCTCAGCCGACACCAGTGACGATGGCGATTTCCTTTGCCCACCAAATGCCTCATTCTACGCGGAGTCTCAGGCGGCACGCAACACATTGGCCAAGTCATCCCCGAATTACATGATCCCTTCTATCTTTTTCCTTCTTGCATACCTTCCCACAATTATTACCGGCAAGGTCGACCGCAGGCGTCTGAGGATTCGAGCTGAGGCATTGTCACCATTAGATCGGGCCAAGTACAAAAACCCATCTGCCACCTTCGATTGCTCATGCACCCTTGCTTCCCCGACAGAAGACGCTCTCAAGGGGCTATGGGCTCAAGTGCTCAGTATCGCGCCAGACATGATTGGACCAAAGCATGACTTTTTGGAGCTTGGAGGATCTTCCATCGATGCAATGAAGCTGGCGGCGCTTTGTCAGAAGGAAGGCTTTGCAATTCGCGTTGCATCTATTCTTGCTCATTCGGGTCTCCAAGAAATGTCTTCAGTCATCGAAAACCACCGGGACCAAATTGCATCCCCGCTGCCTTCATACAAGCTTGACCACAACCTACGCGACACGTTAATTCGCGATCGGTTGATTAGCGAGATGGATGTGATTGATGTTTTCCGCACCACAGAATTCCAGAGATGGAACCTCGAGCAGCCCTGTGATCATCTTACAATCGAGCTACCGGCCGATGTTGATATCAAACGCCTTGAAGACGCATGGAGAAAGGTAATCGCAAGGCACGCCGCTCTGCGAACGGTTTTTATCCTATATCAAAACCAAATACTCCAAGTGGTGCTGAAGGGCTGGAAAGACAGAATGGAATTCATGGATGTACAGGAAGAAATTCCTCCTGTCATTGAGGGTTTGATTCGCGAAAAGTGCAGGCAGTTTCCGCCTGCTGGGACGTTCCACTTTCATCTCACATTTTTATCCAGCCCAACGTCTCGGGTCCTCTTGGTCAGGATCAACCATGCCCAGTACGATGGAATCTCGCTAGGAATTTTGTACAACGACTTCATGTCTGCATACTCCGGTCGAGAGCTTGCAGTGTCAGAGGACTTTTCGGATTATATGCGCGTTCGACATGCCCAAAGTACGCCAGAAGCGTTCGACTACTGGAGAAAAGCCCTCGACAATGCCACCATGACGGTTTTGAGCCAGTCTCAACCAACATTGCAACGAGATATTGTTATCCACGCGGAGGACTTGGCCCGCCCATTACCTCCCAAAGGAATCACGCTCGCCACTTTGCTCACATCTGCATGGGCTTGGACACTCGCAGCATCCACTGGCCAGTCAGACATCGTATTCGGCTACGTGTCCAGTGGCCGCGACGTCCCTATGGATAACGCGGCCCATTTTGTCGGGTCAGCCGTCACCACGGTACCTATGCGCCTCACTTTGCAGCGATCCTGGACAATTTCGGATTTATTGGGGGAAGTGCAGAATAAGCGGATTCTCACCGCTCCATATGAAGTGATCGACTTTGAGGACATTGTTTCGCAAAGCACATCTTGGCCCGCTGGCACACAAATCGGCAGCGTCTTTTCTTATGAAGACTTCGGGGAGGTTCCCGAAATCTCATTGGATGGGGTCCATTGCTTGACAAAATTCCACTTCCAAAAGACTCCGACCGTGCCTTACGCTTTGGTCTCGCCCAAAGACGGGATGATCGGAGTGAGGGTTGCGGGCCGCACCGATTTCCTTTCTCGGGCACAAGCTATGCGACTTTGCGGAATGATCTGCACTACTGCGAAATATTTCTCCCTGTTCCACGAGCGCCACCTCCCATGGGAGCAGTTTTCTGAATCTTGTACCTAGAGAACTCTAGTTGCGGAACGAGCATGTCAAGGTGCTCCTACTTAATCGATCGTGCAGTTTTTCCCTTAACTCCACTCTTTGGACTTAGAAATTTGGCCCAAAACCTTACTTCGCGGTGAAGAATGATAGATCAGTCACACGTGTCCCAGTCATATTTGAAGATTCCTGGGTCCTATCATCGTACATGCAATGCCTGTCCCTTACGGGAACATTATCCCTTCACTAAGCAACAGTGTCTTCTGGAATGCGCCACCTCAATAATTATATTCAATGGGAGGTTTCCAGGCTTGCATGATGGAACTTCATTCACAAGCGTGCATAAGCCATAAGTGTCCTTCCAAGGTGGCTAAAGATGTGTGAACACCAAGCGATTTGATAGATCTGGTCGCAGGGACTATCGACGCAGAGAAATCCACTCCCTTACTTAGAAACTTGGAAAAAGCAAAAAAAAGAAAAAAAAAGAAGAAGAAGACACGCACAATGCAATAGGAAGAGCAAAAATGAAGTGCTGAACAATATGCAAGGGCAACGGCCAGCTCAACCAGCTAAGTGAATGAGCCTGTAGCAAGTATCCATGCAAATAGATCTCCACATCGGTGTATAAGGTTCATGCTTTGCGATCAGTCAACGCGGCTAAGCCAACCATTGGGTTTGTGCACAGTGACTCCAAGTCCTATCGACTCTACCCCTTTGGCTGCCAAGATATAGTAGTTGCAGAGCACCTTGCATGTAAAAATTTTCATGGATTGCATTAGGAGGCCTGGCCAAATATGTAAAGCAATTCGACGGAATACTAAACATACCAGACCATCATTTAACCTTGCGCCTGGTGCTTGAAGCTGACGGTTGCGATCTTCTCTCACTTTCAATTGTGTTAACACTCTGTCACACAAAGCAAACTCCAAAGCCGTTACTTCAACCATGTTCGACGTAAAGTTGCCTCTTGAACAAGAAACTACATCGCCTTACTTGGAGCAAGCATTGCGGTCATGGGATAAGGTCAACAAGCTCCAAGCTGGAGGAAAGGTCCTCTTGGATGGCGAGAATCTTGATATTGCGAGCGTGATTGCTGTTGCTAGGTATGTATCTGACCGCCGGATCTTCAGAAAAGTGCTAACAAGGAAAAAAAAAAAAAAGGCACCATTCCCAGGCCACTGTTAGTCCCAATGGTGATATTGCCCGGCGCGTTGAGTCTGGGGTAAAATGGCTGCGGGAGTATCTCGCCAATGGCTATCAGGTCTACGGTATGTTACCATGAAGTTACCTTCAATGTATAGTGAATTGATAGAATTCTTAACAGGAGTTACTACGGGATTTGGTGGTAGCGCCGATTCCCGCACTTTGGACTTTCATGGACTGCAAGCTGCCTTGTTGCAGTTAACTCAGACTGGGGTCTTGTCAGAATCTGACTTGGACCCAGCGAAAGCAAACTATGACATCGGTTTCCACAGCATGCCTGTATCGTGGGTACGCGCCACAATCGTGGTACGATGTAATCATCTCCTTCGTGGACATTCCGGTGTTCGGTTCGAGATCATTGCCTACCTGCTTAGACTACTCGACCTCGGGATGACCCCTGTGGTCCCGTTGCGAGGCTCAATCTCTGCCTCGGGAGATTTGATGCCGTTGGCATACATCGCTGGAATCCTGGAAGGTAACCCCGATATCAAGGTCCACTGGGAAAGAGAAAAGAACGGAAAGACAGTTGTCATTAGCGCTGCGGAAGCTCTGGATGTTGCTGGACTTGAGCCGATTGTTTTGGGACCCAAGGAAGGGTTGGGTCTTCTCAATGGTGCTGCTGCGTCCGCAGCAGTGGCAAGCATGGCCATATATGACACCAACCAGCTGGCTATCCTCTGCCAGTCCATTGTAGGTATGTCATGCGAGGCGCTCCTGGGGAATGCAGAGAACTACCATCACTTTGTTGCCGCCATTCGCCCCCACAGCGGCCAGCTCGAAATTGCTCGGAACATTCGTCATTTCGTGCGTGGTTCGTCCCTACTGGAGACGTCCGAGACCAAGAATCGCACCCGTACCGGTTTGTTTCAGGACCGTTACGCGCTCCGAGGTGCATCGCAATGGATGGGCCCGGGGCTAGAGGACCTCCTTCTTAGTATTAAGCAGCTAAGCACGGAATTGAACTCTACCCAGGACAATCCAGTGATTGACACACAATCTGGTGAAGTCTATTCGGGATGCAACTTCCAAGCTGCTTCAGTGACAACCGCGACAGAAAAGACACGCCTGGCTCTGCAAATGATGGGAAAGATGCTCTTTAGCGTCTCATCCGAGCTAATTAATCCTGATTTGAATCGCGGGCTGCCTTCCAACTTATCAGCAGACGACCCCAATCTTTCATTCACTATGAAGGGTGTCGACATCAACATGGCTGCCTACATGTCCGAACTCGCGTTTCTGGCCAATCCAGTCTCATCGCATGTGCAATCAGCAGAGATGAATAACCAGCCTATCAATTCACTTGCATTCATTTCGGCGAGATATACCATGCAAGCGGTAGAGGTGCTGTCTCTCATGAGTGCAGCTCACCTCTATGTTGCCTGCCAAGCGCTAGATCTCCGTGTTTTGAACGTCACTTTCCAAGATGCCTTGGACGAAGAGATTCGAATTGCTACTCGGGAAGTTCTCAACAAGCTAGCCGAGGAGCCTCTTGCATCCCTCCAAGCTGAGCTGATCAAGACAGCTCGGGATGCATGGGTAAACTCCGCAAGAGAAACCCTTCACTTGCGTGCGCAGCTTGTCGCGAACGCCATAGCACCCCCTGCAATGGACATACTTGGCCAGCATGGGCCTTCATCGACGCATCATACGGATTCACTTTCAGCAATCAGTGATATGATGGCGCGTGTCAGGTCCAGTTGCATATCTCTATTCGAGAGCATGCGCGAAAACGCCTTTTCTGAACCACAGACCGAGAGATACCTTGGGGATGGGGCCAAACTGCTGTATCAATTTGTCCGAAACGAACTCAAAGTACCCTTCCATAGAGGCCTGGTTGAACATCCCACTGTGAAATCTGGATCCGGACTCAATCGCGAGCGCAAAACTATCGGATCCTGGATTTCTATCATCTACGCGGCAATTCGCAGCGAGCAGATTACGGGTTCATTAATGGAAATGGCGAACTGCTTCGAGTGTCGTAATTGTAACAGGCAGAAGAACGGGTTGAACGGAAACCATATCACGTGTGACGTGGACGCGGTTATCTAGAATGGAGTAAACCTGATTACATCCCTCAAATTGTCTACAATTTATTCTTTGTTCAGCATGAACTCAATTTTCTATTCCTGCCTCTTTTGCTCTTCCATCCGTCTCACTTCGTATTAGTAGGGCCGACAATTCTGCAATCCTCCCACCCATTAGTTTCTTCCTCCTTTCTAATCAGTACCCACGTTGGCGATGCAACCTTTCCAGTGAGAAGAGAAGTTTGGACACCTCACATCATCCCCTTGCCTTTATGTCTTCCCTTCAGTATCCTTGTTCGCCAGGTTTGTGTCAGATATGTGTCCAGGACAGATGGTGACATTGAGCGGCAACGAATCTCCACTACTGTCACTACCAGTTGCATGATGCAACGTATCCAATAGATCTGTAGAAAGTATGTCCATCGCAGCTGTCTGCCCTATCAGATCCATGGAACTACTAGCTAGCCATTCATAAATATGACATGATGCGGCCTAACGGAAAATGTGACAAACCATGGTGTGATCAAGGAGAATGCATACCTCCCTGCCCCTTACTTTGTGGTGCAATAATGCGAACAATACGTATTCTCGAATTTGATTTGGAAAGACTCCGGTGTCTGCCGATGCTACCAAAGATATGTGACGGACGCCCTCAGTATTCTTTTGACTTTGGAAACGCTCTGAGAAGCACACTGCAAATCTCTCTGTTATCCCAAAAATGGACATACCAGACAACAGAGTCTTCACACTGGCGAGCAGTTTCCCGGAACGTGTGGCAGTTCAGGTATTCTTGATTGCAATCGCCTTCTTGGTTCTCTGGAAACATGTCCAGCTTCGCAAACTTCTGAATTCCGTCATCTCAACGCCCATCAATGTACTTCACCCAAACAGATCGCATTGGAAACAAGACTGACGGAGCTGGGAGTAGGTCTACCTTTGCTGGAAATACCCGATCCAGTCATCGGACCGATCGGTGGATATACCTACATGCCCATTTCGGTTCCCGAATGGGCAAGGCAATATAAAGTTTTCTGAGGGTCGGGCGAGGTCTCGAGAATGGGGGAGTGAATTTGGCCACATCTATCGCATCTGGGCAGGGAGTACTCCTGAGGTGTACGTGAATATTCTGATAGTGCATAAAGGAAGGTGCTAACAGATTTCAGGGTACTTACCAAGCATGATCAGATGCCCGCTGTCTTCAAAGACTCTCATTTGCACATAAAGTCAACGAATTTTGATGCGGGATGGCTATTCGGCGAACTCGTTGGTAAAGCGTTGGGTCTACTTAATGGCGGGGATTGGAATCGTGTGCGAAATATCTTTGCGCCGCCGTTCCACCAGGCCAAGGTGGTCAACTTCCTGCCAGTAATGGAGCGACGGGTGCAGCAATGCCTTCAGGAGCTACACGAGAATCCTAAGATTCACCGCAACGGTACTCTCATCCTGAAGCCTGCGGATGACCTTCGCCTCGTGTCATTTTGGGTTCTCTGCGACATACTATACGGAGACATGAGTCCGGAGATGGAAGCTCAGTTGCTCGAAATTGTCGAAATCCGAGAGAAGGTGTGGGCGGGTGTTACCGCCGGGGGTTTAGCCCGCCTATCAATCGGACGTTTCCTGCCAACTCCAACGAAACATGCCCTGAGAACTTTTCGGGTTATGTGGGCTGGTTTCAATCGTCAGGCCGCCGACCGAGCTCGTAGCTTGTTCGACGGGCTCCCACCAATCTGCGACTTCTTCTCAGCCGTGGACTCTGGCAAGCTCTCTGAGCATGAGATGCTGGATACCATGGATGAGATACTCTTCGCAAACCTTGACGTCACTATCGGCAGTCTGTCGTGGGTGCTCGTGTTTTTGGCTGCTCACACTGACGTGCAAACGGATTTGCGACGAGAAATTGTGGAGAATAAGTCTCGAGCTTCTCCGGCTGTCTGGGACGAGTATATCTCTCAATCCTCCACACTACTGATGGCTTGTCTTCTGGAATCTGCTCGGCTACGGCCTATCGCATCTTTCTCTGGGGCACAAAGTCCCCCGTCGGACCGTCAGGTGGACCAGTATGTTATTCCAGCCGGAACCAATGTCACAGTTGACATTCATGCTTTGAACAACGACGACCAAGCCTGGGGAGATGATCGCTACCAGTTTAATCCACGACGTTTTTTACAAGCAAAGAATCCGTCCGAGTTCCGTTATCGACTTTGGCGCTTTGGATTTGGCCCTCGGCAATGTCTAGGGAAATATCTCGCCGACCTGTTTCTGAAAACCTTGCTTTCGCACATCCTCGAGAATTACTCGATTCAGATGAAGGACTCGTCCCAGCGGTCGATGGACGATTTTAAGGGTAACTCGAATGCGTGGATCAATCTTGCTGCGGAGGACGTTGTGTGGGTAAAGATCACTAACTCGGAGTAAAGAGAGATAACAAATCATTCTGGAGTCGACGATTTTTCTGTAACTAACATCCTGAAACCATGCTTCTTATGGGAATTTTCCATGAAATCAGGAAACAAAAAGAGGATCGAGAACAATAACTCCAGGAAAGATGATGATGAGGTATAAAATAAATAGTATTGAAGAGGAAATCTTACTTCCATTCGATTTTTGTTCTCGAATATTTGATGGCAAAAAAAAAGACAAGTATCTTTCTATATCTCTAGTCTATGATTTGGTGATTCCCAAGGCTTGTTTCAGGCCTGTGAAATCATTTGCTCGATGTAATCCTTCCTCGGGAATATTTTTGGGGACGTAGTCCTTCCCTGATAAGAATGCCTCTCTCACTTTGGGAAACTCCTCATATGTTGAAGATTGGCAGTCATGTCCGAGGATCCAGGTGGGTCGAGGAGTTTTGATCAAGTTTGGATTTTTCTTGATTGCTTCCCAGTCAGGACGATGCCACGAATCGTGGTTCTCCTTTCCTCCAGATTGGATGATGGTAGCCCGTTGATATCTGCGCTTGATCATCAGCTATCGAGATCATACAGGAGGAAATGTACTTGATCAAAGGCAACCCTGAGAGCCAAGTCCCTCACCTTATTTTTTCTGCAATTTTGAGCCCGAGAGGCACGTTGTCCTTTGTGGCCAACTCCAAAGTGATAGCCAGCACAGCAGCATCTTCTATGGCCTGGCTGGCCCCCTGGCCAGCCATAGGGAGATAAGGATGGGCAGCATCACCGGTCAGAATGATGCGACCTAGCGGTGACAGCCAGGTATCCAAGGGGGGTCTTGTGAGAATGGGAAAATTGATCGCCTTCCCAGCTGGCGTATGCCGTATGATGGGGGCAATCTTGTCCCGGCAAGGCCAATCCTGGATTTTGTCTAGCACGTGCTGCACGTTGGCCGGAACTGTCCAGGACTCACGAGCGTCGCCGTCGGGATCAGGGTGAGTGAAGATCCACATAATGGCATTTCCCCGTTTGACGGTACAGATGGTGATCTCGCTGTCTTTGCCTACAAAAGCCGATGCATGATCACTTTTACCAGCGCCTTTGAGGAGCCAATGTGCTGCATGGTCTGAGAGGATCTCGCTAACGTCAAAGTAAGCCCGAAAAGCCGCGTAGCCTGAGGACACGGGTGCCGGATCGCCGCCTGTCACAAAACCTCTGGCCTTGCTATGGAGGCCGTCGCTAGCAATGACACAGTCTGCGGCCACTCTACTACCATCGACAATTATACCAGCATTGGAATCCGTCTCCCAATAGTCGGTGACTTTAGCATTGAATCGCACCTCGACTCCAATGTCTCTTGCATGCTCGTAAAGTATATTCGCCAGGTCGCACCTGTTCAAAAAGTAGCCATCGCCGCGGCGGAATCCAGTCATTTCATTTGTGACAATGAATTTCCCAGCTTGGTCATGAATATCCACAGCTCGAATATGGCTGATTTGAGCTTCAAGTAGCTCATGGACGCGTCCGTTTCCCCACTTGGCCAAAATCCGAGCGGCATTACTTCCAATACCTATACAGTCTCCTGATATAACATGAGCCTGATATTCTTAGACTGATTACAAGTCGGCTCACCTTGAGGGCGCGGTGCAGAAGCCTTTTCGAATACTGTGACTGAATGTCCTTTGCGATGACACTCGATGGCGGCGGCTAATCCTCCAATCCCAAGTCCGACAATAATGATATTGATTCCACTTGATCGCGGCTCCGCAATGGCGGCTGGCCCCTGGTTCGATGGAATTGATGGAATAGTCATGATGAATGGTAGTGAAGAGGTTGAGTTGGCAACGAGGGCGCAATAAAAGGAGTAGAAAGAACCCCGGTATAGTGCGTGTGATGCATTCCCTTCATTCCATCGGAACGGAAATTGACAAATTGATGCAAGGGTCAACGCTAGAAGCCAAAATTTCATGTTCCAATGTATGTAATGAGTAGAGACCCACTCCCTGGCCCTTACTTCAAATAGTACAGAGATGCAGACATTTCTTCTAAAAGGTCCTGCGGCGGAGCCAGGTCAACGCGTCATGTTTTTTCTCTCATCTTGCAGCCTCTGCCTCGTCATCAAAACCCGGATGACATTCTTACAGTCACTAGCGAACTCAAAATCTATGGCCAAGGGCACCTGAGATTACCTATCTTGCGCAATGCGCCGTGGTATTAAACAAACATAACCGTGGACATCGGTGAATCCACGTGGTCAGTCCTTTGAAAGTCACGAATCTCGGGTTCACTATTGAGCTTTAGTTTGGAAGCCTGCCAACCCCCTCTGAGGACTTTGTGCTGATTATACATCTGTCACAGTCCATACCTGTTCTCGTCAACTTAGACTTGTTTACAGGGTGCATAGAATTGCAACATTGAACTGGATTGATCGATAGTATGATCTTACGGATCAACGCACATTCTTCAATCTGATTTTCAGTCGCAATTTTTGAAGGACAAAGGTGGATTTGACAGAAGAATAAGAGTCACCGTCTTGCATATACTATGCTGTATGGGCCACGTTTTGGCGTAACCATTACAATACCAACAAAGGCCCTTTTGGCAGCCAACCGAGTCCATCATTCTGAACTCTGAACGCTAAAGTTCCCGAAATGTGTTTAATAACTCCAATCACACACTTCGTTTACCCATCCAGTTCTGACTACCTTGATCTTACAGAACTTGTGATTCTTGCTTTTGCTTCCTCTTCTCTTCTCCCAACTTCGCTTTCCATTTTGTATGATACGATTTTGTGTAATTTCGGTGTATTGACTTGATTATGCACCAATATTTGCAACTGGCTACCTTTTCTGTGCTGTTTTATTTACCGGTGTACCGAGGTGGTCAATTCGCTGTGGCAAGTTTACACACGCAAGTGGTCAATACATCTAGCCCCTACATTAAGGGAAACTTAATGCTCTAAATGCTGGCTTTGCATATCTTCTTCAGGCCTACAGTGGGTTTCAAAAACAGTTTACCCCCCAGACACACACGTTTACTCTCCCGGAGACCCATTTTGACGCCTAGTCTGGCTCGCCCTAGTTCTGGATTCTCCCGCAACCAATACTACGGTGCCATGCCGCGGGGAAGGGGCTTCATCTAGCCAGAATAAGCTTAGCGTAATATTAGTGGGGCGCTGGGAAAGAAAGTGTGTGTGGCTGGGGGGTTAATCTGTTTTCGAAATCTTCTGTATCGTATGGGTGAGGTTGAAGGATATTGGCTGTTATTTTGAAATTGGCTCTGATCCGATCCAAATATACCATTTCCAGTTACTCGACAGTGATTTGAGTTTGAAACCCTGGAGCTGAAGCGGAAGTAGCATTCAACAATTTTTTTGCTTCTATTTTGGGTAGGATTCCCGAGTCTCCACTGGCCCCACTGATCACCGCCAATAAGGCTGACGTCAATGCTCTGGCTCTTTCCCCAACGTACATTGATATTCCAACGTGCTTTAAAGATGGGTTGGGTAGGAAAGTGAAACTCGAATTAAGATCACCTTGAATAGGTAGCATATCCCAACTGTTCTGTACCTTGTAGTAGTTGTTCGTTTTAAGATGGGGGCTCAAGGGACCGCAGGAAATGGAGACTTGGAAACCCTGAACCCTCAGATGTTTATTTGGAAACCACCATCGATCAATGCCAATCCCAGATACAATCCACTCGCTCCCCGGGGGGCATGTGGCTGCCCCTGGGAACTGTACTGGAGGTTCCAGGAGCAACATAGCTCCTGGAGTCAACTTACACGATCTTGGAGCTGGTAGTTCTAGCGCTGTGTAAGCTCATGTACTCAATATATCCTTAACTTCAATCACAGGTACGCTCCAGACCATCCCAGAGATCCGCTGTTGACCTGTACGCAGGTCGACCCCATTGATAATGTTAGCGCGATACTTCCACCCCTTCCTCATGACTAATATTCTGCCACCGTTTTATTGCGACTTCCTGTAATTAAACCATCTTGATACAATATTACGGTAGGAAGGTAGGTGGGTATGTGGAAGGGGTTGAAACATGCGGTATTGCTCTAATCCCTTTTAGGAAGGCGGTTAAAAGACGGTATTAATCATAAAGAATGGTGGGAAGTACCACGCTAACATTATCAATGGGGTCGACCTGCGTAAGAACGGCTTAAGGTTCCACGAGCAGAAGAGTTACCGGGACTGCCCAACACGTTCCTGAACCATCGGTTTGTTTAGGAGCAAGGTATGTTTCCCCTTCCTCGGTCACAATCTCATAACCATACTGCTGGAGTAGGCCACTTTCCCTTATTTTCTGAGGGTTATTTTCAACACGAATTATTGTGGTTGATGTGGACATCTTAAGAGAATGACGAATGAAAAACTTCTCTTCGACTTACACCACTGTGATGTATCGCAAGCTGGGCGAGTGGCGAGGTGGGGCAGAATGGTAGAGCTCAATTACAGGCTGGAGAGTGGTGGTGGGGACTGTCTTAAATAATGTGTCGTACAGAGGATATCGGAAGCAGATTCCCCTGCCAGACCCATACGCTTTCTTTCCTAATGCCCCACTATAATTACACTAAGCTTAATTTTGCTAGAGAAATTTCCCTCACACAGGGTGGGGGTGAGTGAAGCGGGGTGATTAGCTTTTCGAGACTCTGAAACTTGACGATCTGGACGAGGAGAGGCCTACGACCCCTGATCCTTTTGTAATGAGACGGTTGAGAGATATCTATGCGTTTCTGCCTACCCACCCCATATTTTTGGGACCTCTAATAGAACCGGGTATGTATATACTGTAATCTAGGCTTTGACTCAGTACTTCCCAAGCTAGCATTATTCATTTACATGCGAGGGCTCGCAAAAAAGATCTGCCGCTGTGTGGTATTTTGTTGGTTGCTAGGAGTTGGTCTTGTCGGCTCCGCGCCTATCCAGGTTTTACTGCAGCCTCTTCCCCGCACGCCCCCGTTCTGCCACCGCCTTGCACGTTATTTGCCGTTGACTAATCATTCCACCGACTCCGTAGCAATTCTCGGTCATCCCATATACAAACCATTCGTAAGACACAGCAAAAGCGTGTAAAACTTGAGTCATTAGGGATACCTCCTAACAGTTATAAGACCCCATTGGTTAGACTTCATTTTTGATAACATCACTCAAGCTCTATTACTGAGTCGACCTGCACGCTGTTACTGAGCACTCTTAGCAGTATCCAGAGTGCCACTAAGCCCAGATTGGAAGTAGGTTTTATATAATCAACTTGGGACGGGACGTTCCGCTTCAGCCTTACCCTTATACTCGAGTTTATTGCAAGCCATGGCCCACGATTGTTAAATTGGCCACACATCAGTTGTAAGGCCGGACTGTAATCTGGGCTTTGACCCACACTGTGAGATGGTAATAGGCGTTATATTTAGAATGCTACGGAGTACACCTAGTCCATTTAGGAGAGCCTGTGCCGCCACTTTTGTGGCTCCAATTCCAAAGGCAAACTACTCCCTCCACCGGGTCTCGCCCGAGGGCCCGGAATGGAGCGGAGGTAACCACACTGTTATCCTTGCAAGCAGGCTGAATAATTTCAGGCCAGAGACCTGGGGGGTCCGAAACTATTAGGAAGTGCACGGACCTCCGGCCCAGGTGGAGAAGGTGTTTTTATTTAGCCAATCCAATTCAATCCTACTTTTCTACAGAGAACGTTGTTGAAACTTGCACAGTCTCACCACTTTCTGCTGCCTCATATTTTAAATTTTAGACACCCGTCAACACCGCCTTCTTTCCTCTCACCTTTGTTGAACTCGCAATTAGGCTGCCCTTTATCCTCAAGATCCAGTTCATTTAATCTGATCGAGGTAGTAAAGAATGCTATCAATTGAGAATCAACGGTAGCCGTGGACAAAACTCCCTCACCTATCTCCCTCGCCCTCACAAAACAAACGTGGTGGTGCTGAAGTGAACCCACAGGAAGTGTTGCGTGTCTATCGGCGTGACTACCGCAACCACGGAGTCTCTGTAATATGCTCAACTCAAGCAACTAAACACCACTCATTCATCAATAAACACTACTCATCAATAAACACTACTCATCAATATGAAGTAGCTTGCCAATCGTGGGGAGAAGAGGAAATGAATAGTATTCTTATTGCCCGAATAACAAGGCATACATGCTTGGTCTTGGTAACCCCGATTTGGTCAACCACCATTTCTGGCGGCGGTTACAGTACAGTACTCTGAACTGGGGCTATTGTTGGCCAAGATGTGGACGCCACAAATATAAGTTCCGCGTTCCAGCCGGGTCTAGAACTTGGCCTCAGTATTGCTATTTTGGGAACAAATTGGACGTATGATTTGTCTTTTGTCATACCACTCTCCACTTGCATGAATTTCAGTTCCTGACGGCAACCTTATACAGAAACCCCAGGTAGGCTGGCCACTCCAAAATCAACGCGGCTAGAGTTCTATCCACTGCAAATAGCCACTTGTTAGCCACTGCTAAGGGACCACTTAGCCATTACTAAGGACTACCAAGCCACTACCAAGGGCCACTTAGCAACTGTCAAGGAGAGAGACATTGTCACAAGGACGCATCCCTTGTCTCCAAGGTCGATGTTCAGTGCGTGGGGCTGTGGGCTGCGATTCTCGCCTTAGGTATAAGTAGAGATAGCAGACATGTCCTAAAAAGAGTCGTCACTATTAATACCGCTATTGTAGACTTTAGAGACGGAGAGCCAGGAAGTAAAAGAAATCGCAGCGTCCTCACCTGCTCTCCTGTCCCTCCAGTCCAGTCATAATAGCCCGATACCTAGTTCGGCTTAGCGGCACCCTGAGCAACATCAAGAGTGATACCGAATCTCTTCAGCAGTCTGAAGAAACACTTAATTATT